TAAACGCGCGAAATAAACCTAAACCTGAAGCACCCAATTCTCGTTGCGAGATTTTTTTCGCAAAAAGCAGCGTGCGATTCCCTCGAAACGAAAGAACTTCTCGCGCGAGTTCGCTATTCATAGCGAATATATATATAATAATATTATTATTATATTATTATATATATATTCGCTATATGAATAGCGAACTCGCGCGAGAATATATATATAATATATATTATTATATTATTATATATAATATTAGTATTATATTATTATATATAATATTAGTATTATATTATTATATATAATATTAGTATTATATTATTATATATAATATTAGTATTATATTATTATATATAATATTAGTATTATATTATTATATATAATATTAGTATTATATTATTATATATAATATTAGTATTATATTATTATATATAATATTAGTATTATATTATTATATATAATATTAGTATTATATTATTATATATAATATTAGTATTATATTATTATATATAATATTAGTATTATATTATTATATATAATATTAGTATTATATTATTATATATAATATTAGTATTATATTATTATATATAATATTAGTATTATATTATTATATATAATATTAGTATTATATTATTATATATAATATTAGTATTATATTATTATATATAATATTAGTATTATATTATTATATATAATATTAGTATTATATTATTATATATAATATTAGTATTATATTATTATATATAATATTAGTATTATATTATTATATATAATATTAGTATTATATTATTATATATAATATTAGTATTATATTATTATATATAATATTAGTATTATATTATTATATATAATATTAGTATTATATTATTATATATAATATTAGTATTATATTATTATATATAATATTAGTATTATATTATTATATATAATATTAGTATTATATTATTATATATAATATTAGTATTATATTATTATATATAATATTAGTATTATATTATTATATATAATATTAGTATTATATTATTATATATAATATTAGTATTATATTATTATATATATATTCGCTATGAATAGCGAACTCGCGCGAGAATTTATTTCGTTTCGAAGGAATCGCACGCTGCTTTTTGCGAAAAAAATATATATATATATAAAATATATATATAATATATACATAATAATATATATAATATATATTATATATATTTATTAAATATCTCCGAAAATACGCGAGAAATGTTGGTAAACCGGTGGCCCGCTGAATTTTCCGAGGAAAGCCGAGGAGCAGATCGCCGAGGTCGGCCGGCCGATCGACGTTCTCCCGAAGCTCTCTCAATTTATCGGCGAAGAGAACGATCTACGGGCAAGCCCGATCCGATTAAACGTCGCCGGATCGCCCGAGGAGGTCCACGTAAACGAAACCGACGAGCTGGATCGAGCCCCGACTCGGCGGGGTGGCGGGGGTGGTCGCGAATTAAAGGGGGAGGGCTTCGGCGATCGCGACGCGGATCCGTTCTGGATCGTGGAAGGGGTAGCCTCGCGCGGACACCGACAGGAAAAACAGGAAGCAAGAGAGAGAGAGAGAGAGAGAGAGGGAGAGAGAGAGACAAAGAAGGAAAGAGAGAGAAAGAGAGGGGGGAGAGAGGGAGTGCGAACCGTCTGGAGCCAAGCTGGCTGCACGAGAAGGGGCTCGGCATCTCGTTTACAAACCGCGCTCGATTAGGTAGGGACAGCTCTAAGCTTATAAGACAGCGAGCACAGCCCCCCGGCTGACCAATAGTCGCGAAACTGTGATTGCGTGCCTTGTGTCGCGTGCAGACGACCGCTAATTAGCTCGTGGAACGACGCGTGATCCCTGCGCACAAGCTCGAGAAACAGATCGGGTTAAGCGATTCGAAAGCGATCGAGAGACGCGAGCCGAGATAGCCGACACTTTCGACGAAGAAGACGCACACAGAGAGAGAGACAGAGAGGAAAAGAGAGAGAAAGAGGCAGTGGTAAAAAGAGTGACATCGGGTGGTGGCATCGAAGGGCGCCGATCGCACAGACAATTGAGCTTCGTCGAGGACGAAGGGGGCTGCAAAGTACAAGTGCAACGAACCACCTGTTCCCTTTCTTTTTTCTCGGAAGAGGCTGCCGGACACTAATTGCAGGACTTGAGGTTGCTGTGAGTATTCCGGAGGCTTGCAATAGAGAGAATTTTTTGGTGTACGATAATTTTTTTCGTTAATTTAAGCTTCAGCTTGTAAACAGAAATGGAGGATTTTTGGGAGAGGAGATCGCGATTGATTCGAGCGGCTCGTTTTTTGTTGTTGCGGACGATCGGGGATTAGAGAAACGAGCCGCGAGGATTCGACGGTCGTGTCTTCCTTTTTTTTAAATTGTTCGGTTTTGTTTGGAGGCTGAGCAACAATTGCGGAGAATTTATTGTATCTCGCTCGCGCGGCTGCGAAGTGATTTATATTGAATTTACGGGCGCCGAGCCGTCGGCACGGCTGTTATGTTAATGCAATCGTAATATTATGTTATTGGAATTACTGTAAAATAATTGTGTTATTATAGAATAACCGAATGATATTAGAATTTAATGCAGATATCTGGAAAACGCGGATCGATCCGAGTCGAAGCTTCGAAGCTACGCGTAGAAAAGTTTGCGCGCTTTCTTTCCCGGAAATTACAATATGGTTTGTTCAAATTGGACGAAATCTTTCGTACATATAATGTAGTGTAATATAATATAATATAATATAAATAAAATAAAAATATAATATAATATAAATATAATAAAAAATTCAATATAATATAATATAAATATAAAATAAAAATATAATGTAATATAAATATGAAATAAAAATATAATATAATATAACTATAAAATAAAAATATAATATAATATAAATATAAAATAAAGATATAATATAATATAAATATAATAAAAATATAATATAATATAAATAAAATAAAAATATAATATAACATAAAAATATAAAATAAAAATATAATATAATATAACTAACTCTGAAACTGTCAACCATAACCAAGCTAAACTGTAACAATCGGTGACCATAAAAATAAGCCACGAGGCTCGAACAATGATGCCCCCCCTCTCCCCGAATTGTCCATTTTCGTTTCCAAGCGGAGCGTCAATCAGGGAGAATTCACCGTAACACGCGGTGACGCAAAATGATTAATAAGGTTGAGTCAGTATCGTTCGCGAGTGAAAAGGAGAAATCAATCGAATCTTTTTGACATTATTGACATCGATGAAGACGCGATTCAACGGGTTAAGTCGGCGGGGCCGTACAGTGGTGGTCGGTGAAATTCTTCCACGAGGATCTGTAAAAGGCATCGATGTGCCTCATCGATGTACGTTCAAATTAGATCCCAAGGGTCGAGGCGCTCTCGCCGAGATATCAGTTTTAACTTCTAATTTCTCCCAATTTCGTTGATTTCTCCGATCCGGCACGAGTTTCGGCAGGGAGATCGGGCGACTCGTCGGCCAGCGTCGTCGGCCGAAACGATTTTGCCGAGAAATCGCAACGACGGCGTTGCAATTGCATCCTCAAAAAACCGCCACAACGGCGTTGCAATTGCATCCCCAAAAATCGTAACAACGGCGTTGCAATTGCATCCTCAAAAAATCGTAACAACGACGTTGCAATTGCATCCCCAAAAGATCGCAACGACGGCGTTGCAATTGCATCCCCAAAAAATCGCAACGACGGCGTTGCAATTGCATCCCCAAAAATATCGCAACGATGGCGTTGAAATTGCATTCCCAAAAAAATTGCAACAACGACATTGCAATTGCGTCCCCCAAAAAATCGCAATGACGGCGTTGCAATTGCATCCCAAAAAAATCGCAAGACAGCATTGCAATTGCATCCTCAAAAAAATCGCAACGACGGCGTTGCAATCGCATTCCCAAAAAAATCGCAATGACGGCGTTGCAATTGCATCCCCCCAAAAAATCACAACGACGGCGTTGCAATTGCATCCCAAAAAAATCGCAAGACAGCATTGCAATTGCATCCTCAAAAAAATCGCAACGACGGCGTTGCAATCGCATCCCCAAAAAATCGCAACAACGGCGTTGCAATTGCATCCCCCCAAAAAATCGCAACGACGGCGTTGCAATTGCATTCTCAAAAAAATCGCAACGACGGCGTTGCAATCGCATCCCCAAAAAATCGCAACAACGGCGTTGCAATTGCATCCCCCCAAAAAATCGCAACGACGGCGTTGCAATTGCATTCTCAAAAAAATCGCAACGACGGCGTTGCAATCGCATCCCAAAAAAATCGCAATGACGGCGTTGCAATTGCATCCCCCCAAAAAAATCGCGTCATCGGAAACGTCACCGCGACGTCACCGATGTTGGTGCAGCGGAAAATTTAGCGTGGATGCACACTGGGTCAAGACTGCGCCGCGTAGAGGGAATCGACGGGCTGCAATCTGTGCCGTGTCAGAAGTTAACTCGACCGCGGTCGCGGCGAAAACAATTTCGCGCGAACATCCCGCGCGGCGGACGTCGGCTCTCGCTCGCGGTCGATCGAAATTAGCTTAGGTTGTTTTCCATCATTTTCCCTTTTGCGACGTCGTTCGATTGTCGTCGCCTGCTGATGGATCCGCGTAGAGACGAATCGATTTGAAATCGATTTGAAATCGATCCGTCGGCTACATTGAATGTTGTTTGAAAAAGTTGGCGCAACTTTTTCAAACATTAACACGTTCCGTGCCGAGCTTTTTTTACTCGAATCTTCACACTTTGATATTTTACTAAAACTTGATCTATTACGTGCAATTATTAATTCTCGTACACATAACAACGTAACAAAAACTTATCAACGCCCATTCTTGCGGTGGAAATTGATTCTTCGGTTCTAAATTTCTTGTAAACAATTTGTTCAGTTCGCTAAGTAAACATGCAAGCGTGTACCATCGATGGTACACGTGGCACGGAACGTGTTAACTTTGACTTTTGTCTGCTCGTCCGTCTATTTGAGCGGCTAATGCCGATTATTCAATTTTTTAATTCTTCTTGGCATCGTCGATGTACCTAATTTTATATTTAGGTTATGTCAAGGTTCATACTGAGCAGAGTGAAAGCCTGAATAGCGTTATCTGGCATTGCAAATTGTAGAATTCAGAGAAATCCAGACTATAGTTAATTCTCCGCTTGATTCATGTTTTCCTGGCGAAGCCAGAGACACGAGATTGAACTTATGTTCATTATTTATTTATTTATTTATTTATTTATTTATTTATTTATTTATTTATAAAACCATAATATAAAACCATAATACATAAAACGAAAAGGTATTCGATTGCAGCGAATAAAAATGTCTGATTAAATTAATTAAAGTATGCGATATCGATGGATTTCGAATTTTATAATTGCCTCGAAGACTGTACTTTATGCGCTTTGATATTTTCCATGATCGAGCCCCGTTGTTAATAAACATTATACTATATAAAATTATAAAACAGAAAGGGAATCGATAACGTAGAGTAAAAATCTCAGATTTATTAGTTAATGGAATTAATCACAATTAATAAAAATATGCAATATCGGTGGATTTTGGATGTCACAACTTCTTCGAAGACTGTAATTTATGCATTTGGGTATTTTCGACGATTTATTTGCACTTCTATGCCGGTAAAGTTGAAGATAATCGCAAATACAGTAAATTCTGCCTAATAGAAACACAAATCGTGCATAAAAATGGACGATTTCAGAAGAGGAGGCACGATTGTTCGAGTCTTTTGGCTAGCTTTTATAATTGTTGGCAATCGGTGATTATAAAAATAATAATATCGTGTATCGAATACTATAATAAGTAATATAATAATATATAATATATATTATAATATTTATATTTTATATTTTTTATAATTTCTACATTATATATATAATAATATATAATATTGTAATATACATTTATCATATATTTATTATACATATTTTATGATAAATATAATAATAATAATAATAATAATAATAATAATAACAATGAAATAATCAAATAATCGTCCCAAACTCTTCGGAAATTGTCCATTTACCGTAATTTAATGTAAAATCCGAGCGTCAATTAGGAAAAAAATTCACCATAAACCAAAAAGAAAAATGCGAATCACATCGATCGCGGGTCCGCGTGGTCGTCTCCTGTCGCAGGAATTGCAGGGGTGCCAGATAACCCGGTAAAAATCTTCCACTAGCCGCGGAATCCGCACGGCGCTCGTTTGATTAATGGTTTCCTTGTATCCGATTCCGGTATCGTATTTGTCCGAGCTCTCGCCGGGAAGAACGAGCAGCGAGCGCGGGGTGCCGGGGCGAAGGGGGGGCTCGACAAAGAGCGACCGCCGTGAAGAAGGGGACGAGGAAAACGCCTATTGTGTTTACACGGGAAGAGAGAGAAAGAGAGAGAGAGAGAGAGAGAGAGAGAGAGCACCCGACGATAGTCACATCGATGGAGCTCCTGCTAATTAGTCGATCGTTTTTTTATCCGGTCATTTGAAGCCTGCGAACGTTTCGCGCTTCTCGAGAAGAAGAAGAGCGAAACGGGAGATCATCGCGAAACAAATGGGGAGAGGGGGAGACATTTAGGGAGACAGTTAGGAAGACAATTAATTAATTCGAACGTAAAACAGCGAATTCGCTGCGAAGATGCGAATCGAATACAGTAATGTCTCCCTAATAATGTCCATTTTTGTGGGCAATCTGAGCGTCAATTAGGGAGACATTACTGTATTCGATTCGCGTCAATTAGAGAGACATTACTGTGTTCGATTCGCGTCAATTAGGGAGACATTACTGTGTTCGATTCGCGTTAATTAGAGAGACATTACTGTGTTCGATTCGCGTTAATTAGAGAGACATTACTGTGTTCGATTCGCGTCAATTAGAAAGACATTACTGTATTTGATTCGCGTCAATTAGGGAGACATTACTGTATTCGATTCGCGTTAATTAGAGAGACATTACTGTGTTCGATTCGCGTCAATTAGGGAGACATTACTGTATTTGATTCGCGTCAATTAGGGAGACATTACTGTGTTCGATTCAATTAGAAAGACATTACTGTATTCGATTCGCGTCAATTAGGGAGACATTACTGTGTTCGATTCGCGTGTTCGCGGCGAATTCGCTGTCACGTTCGAATTACAATAATGTCTCCCTAACTGACACTCAGATTGTGCAGAAAAATATCGACAATTTGGGAAGGAGATACGATTATTCGAGCCTTGTCAGNTTCGAATTACAATAATGTCTCCCTAACTGACACTCAGATTGTGCAGAAAAATATCGACAATTTGGGAAGAGGAGATACGATTATTCGAGCCTTGCAACTCGTTTTCATAGTTATTGAGAATTCGCGACTATAAAAATGAACCGCGAGGATCGAATAATCGTATCTCCTCTTCCCAAATTGTCCATTTCTGTGGACAACCTGGGCGTCAATTAGAGAGACATTACTGTACACAGAATCCTTGGTCACGCGACATTGTTCAGGCTCGTTCTCCGTATCAGCTTAACATTTCATACTAAATTCTCGCTATTTCCGGACATTCGTTCGATCGTTTCCTACCGAAGACGCCTTACGATCTCAACAATCTCAAAAGAAAAACTAACGAACCGGACATTATCTCGACCGATTATGGTTCGAACTCGAAAAATCGATTCGCTTGCGATATTCACAGATCGAAATCCTCTATTCGTGCAATCCTACTCGAATCCTACAGAGTGCATACTCTGTTTCGAAAGACTGGCATGACGAAACCCGCGCGCAGAGTTGGCAGATGCAGAATCGCTGGTTCGATCAACAAGATCGACGGACCAACTAATTACATATATATATATAACGTCGTCTTAGCGGCGTGCAGAAACGCTGTCAGTATCACCGAGTCATCGTTTAATCGCGAACTCGGAGCAAACCCTTGCCTAAGTGAATAGATAAAGCGTTCCCGGTCGAGTAATTCCGTCGGAATAGAAAACGGGAAGAGGCGCGCGATGGAATCGAAGATAAGGAATCGCTGAACACGCGTCCGAAAGAAGACGCAGCTAGAGAGACGCAAAAGTAACGAACTAACTGGTCGGCCGAGAGAAACGTTTCTCGGCGAGTCACGAGATACGGAGCCGCGAGACGAAAAGCCGTGGATCGCGCGACACTTGAGATTCGATGCGACGTATCGCGACTGCCAATTCACAAAGCCGTGTGTCGGAGTCGCGTGTGGAAACCTTGACCCCTTGGAAACATTACGAAATTCGGTCGGGGCGCCTCTCTCTCTCTCTCTCTCTCCTTCTCTGTCTCTCTCTCTCTGTGTGTCTCTCTCTGTCTCTGTCTGTCTCTCTCTCTCTCGGTCTCTGTGTGTCTCTCTCTCTCTCTCTCTCTCTCTCTCTCTCTCCCTCTGTGTGTGTGTGTGTCTCTCTGTGTGTGTGTGTCTCTCTCTCTGTGTGTGTGTCTCTCTCTCTCTCTCTCTCTCTCTCTCTCTCTATCTCTGTCTCTTTAGCCTCGACGCGCGCCGCTTACGAATACCCGAGAGAACGCGCGACGACACAATTCGATCGAGCCACGACTTTGAACCGTCGATCCAGGCTCGCCTCTTTGGTACAGTAAAATCTCTCTTTCTATAGTCGCCGATCGTCGACGACTGTAACAACGAGCCGCGAGGCTCGAACAATCGTATCTCCTCTCCCCAAATTGTCCATTTTCGCGCTCGGTCCGAGCGTCGATTAGGGAGAATTTACCGCAGTTGTGGCAGCCGTGGCCGGGGCCCGTTCGAGTGTTCGCGATTAATACTCGTTCGTGCGTTTTCAAAGCCGTTTCATCGGGGCCGGGGTTGATCATTTTGTTCGACTCGATGTTAATACTCGATATTAATTACAAACGACCGCCGCGATATTAGGATTCGGACGGAATCTTCGTAACTCCGCGTCGAAACGGACCCGACGCCCGCCAAACCGAGGGTCGATCCTTCGGACTCGATGCCATTTTAACTCTAGATCCGAAACAGGCTCTCCGAGCCTGCAGCGTTCCCGTTTTACACGACTCGGTGCGTTTTATCGATACGAACCACTCGAGTCGTCGCACGACAGCTCTTTTTTAACGACAAACGTGCCACCGCGGCTCGACCGACCGGCTTCTCGTATTTCTTATTTTACAGTTACCGAAATCGCGAAGCGGCGTCCATTCGTCGAACATGTTAGTATCGTAGTCAAAGATTATGAAACGGTGACAATCGGTAGTCGGAATAATCGTATCTCCTCTTCCGAAATTGCCCATTTTTGTTTACAATCCGTGCGTTGATTACAGGAGAATTTACCGTAATCGCTTTACCAAGCTTCGACGAGCGATCACATTCCCTTTGCACGAATTTCGACCAGCATTTCCAATTTACCATGTACAGTGGATTCTCGACTATCCGGACTAAACATCGCGACAAGAATGATCGAATAACGTTTCCACTTTTGTATCCAGATTCCACTTTTATTCATTTTCACGGGAAAAATCGTTTTACCGCGTCGATTGCCTCGCGCTCGAGTTAACAAGTCCGAACAATCGCGCTTCTATCGTATTTTCCTTGCTTTTCGTGATTAGGCAGCCATCCGACAATGACGAATTATCATCGTTAATTATTCCTCATTAATCGCTTTACCAAACTTCGACGAGCGATCTCGTTCTCTTTGCACAAATTTCGACCAGCATTTCCAATTGACCATGTACAGTGGATTCTCGACTATCCGGACTAAACATCGCGACAAGAATGTTCGAATAACGTTCCCACTTTTGTATCCAGATTCCACTTTTATTCATTTTCACGGGAAAAATCGTTTTACCGCGTCGATTGCCTCGCGTTCGAGTTAACAAACCCGAACAATCGCGCTTCTATCGTATTTCCCTTGCTTTTCGTGATTAGACAGCCATCCGACAATGACGAATTATCATCGTTAATTATTCCTCACTAATCGCTTTACCAAACTTCGACGAGCGATCACATTCTCTTTGCACGAATTTCGACCAGCATTTCCAATTTACCATGTACAGTGGATTCTCGACTATCCGGACTAAACATCGCGACAAGAATGTTCGAATAACGTTCCCACTTTTGTATCCAGATTCCACTTTTATTCATTTTCACGGGAAAAATCGTTTTACCGCGTCGATTGCCTCGCGTTCGAGTTAACAAACCCGAACAATCGCGCTTCTATCGTATTTCCCTTGCTTTTCGTGATTAGACAGCCATCCGACAATGACGAATTATCATCGTTAATTATTCCTCATTAATCGCGGCTAGGGAATGCCAAGTTTATCTCAATAAATAATAGTAAACGTAAGAAAATCTATCGTGGGACTCACCGCCATCGGATCCTTTCGCGAACAGCTTCCTCACAATCGCGGTTTTGTCGGTGTAAGCATCCACCCTCGCTATACGCTCGCACACGCTCTGGAACTCCTCGAAGGAATCGTCCCTGCTGCGAACCGGTGGATGATTCTTCTTCGATCTAGATCCTCCGGGTTGATCCTCGCTGGAGGACGCAGAACTGCTTCTCTTTGCCTTCTTCGGTTCCTTATCGGCGTTCTTAACCGGCGTTATCGCCTTGCGCTTTTTCGGAGAATCGTCCTTCTTCTTCGCTTTCGGCGTTTTGAACGGCGCTGAAAGTCGATTATATTGGATATATAATTATATTGGATATATAATTATATTGGATATATAATTATATTGGATATATAATTATATTGGATATATAATTATATTGGATATATAATTATATTGGATATATAATTATATTGGATATATAATTATATTGGATATATAATTATATTGGATATATAATTATATTGGATATATAATTATATTGGATATATAATTATATTGGATATATAATTATATTGGATATATAATTATATTGGATATATAATTATATTGGATATATAATTATATTGGATATATAATTATATTGGATATATAATTATATTGGATATATAATTATATTGGATATATAATTATATTGGATATATAATTATATTGGATATATAATTATATTGGATATATAATTATATTGGATATAGTTGGATATGAGCCGTTTACTTTGAAAGTGGGATAAGTCACTTTTTTCTTTTTAAATGAAAAGATACTATTCAATTGTAATTAGTGTTACCATTAACTCGATTGTTTTGAAAAAATGACTTGTGTCACTTTCAAAATAAACGGCTCATATATTGCAATTTTGGATATTTTTTAAGAAAGAATCAGCTTCGAGAGAAACGCGCTCGAGACACGGCTAATTCTGATCAGAGTCGGCTGATTCGCGCGTAATCTACGAAATGTTGTTAATAACAAGTGCCATTAACTGCGAATGTTGTTAATAAACCGCGGACTTGATGCTTCTGGGGCAAAAATGTGCGGACATTATTTCAAACAGCGAAAAGCTAAGAACGTAAAAAATAGCTAAGAATAAGTTGATGTATCGGTTCGAACTTGTTGAAGCGATTAAAGACAGAAAAGAGAACGCGTGCTTGACACTGCTGCGTCTTGCAATTTATATTAAATACAGACAATTTCTATTTTTCATAAAGATCCGCGGTCTAGTTATGAATTTTTTCTGAATCGAAGCAAAATCGAAATCTCGGAATAAAAGCGAACAAAGGCATACAGATCGAATAAAGACGAAGAACAGCTCGTTGACACGTTATTGACGATGATTTTCCAACGACCGAAAGTCTGCAATTTACGGTTAAAATAACAATACATACTGGTACACACAAATAAAAAAAAGAGAGAAAATGAGAAAAGACACGACAAAAACGTACGAACACTGAGAAAGAAACGAATAGTCGAGCTAATTAAATAAAGTGATAAAGTATAGTATAAATGATAAATAACAATGATAATCACAACAATAAAAATAAATTAATAATAAATAATACAGAACAGTACAACGATGCGAACAGAAAAGTAACAGCGAATACGTAGCATCGAAGGTAACAGCTAATCGTTCGAGATTGCGCGATCCCCGGTCGAGGGGATCGCGAAATACAGTAAATTCTGCCTAATTGATGCTTAGATCGTGCACAGAAACGGGCAATTTCGGAAGATTAGCTACGATTGTCGGAGCCTCGCGGCTCGGTTCCATAGTCACCGATCGTCGACAGCTATAAAAAGGAGCCGCGAGGCTCGTATAATCGTGTCTCCTCTCCCCGAAATTGTCCATTTTTCTGCGCAATCCGAGAGTCAATTACGGAGAATTGACTGTAGATCAGAATCGACTGAGCCGATTAGTGCACAAAACGCGTAGTATAATCCCGACTGCGGTGGCTTCGACGTTAATAAGAATAACCTATAGAAACGATACAGAGAGAGAGAGAGAGAGAAGAGGAGAACTGGGTTATTTCGCGGGACGTAAATCATCGCGCGGAGCGATCGCTCTAATGGCCGATAATGCTCGAAAGATGATTTATGGGGATACGATTTGTACGTGCCAGCATTCAATTGCAACGGCAATTAAACGGTCTTAGCTATCCCGCGGTTATTAAAGCGATAAGAAGAGAAGCGGCACACGCTCGGATCGGAGAGCTCCGCGCTGGAAACTCTACGCTCGAATTTGTTTATCGCGCTGACAGAAGCGCCGTCGCATCGACGATCCGCGGACGCCAGGCGCTGATCTCGCGAGGAAAAGGGAAGTTTCGCGAGGAAAAGAGGAGCCTTGCGAGGAAAAGGGAAGTCTCGCGAGGAAAAGAGGAGCCTTGCGAGGAAAAGGGAAGCCTCGCGAGGAGAAGAGAAGCTTTGCGAGGAAAATAGAAGCCTCGCGAGGAAAAGAGAAGCTTCGCGAGGAAAAGAGAAGCCTCGCGAGTAAAAGAAATGCCTCGCGAAGAAAATCGAAGGCTTGCGAGGAAAATAGAAGCCTCGCGAGGAAAAGAGAGGAAATAAGAAAGCAGCCATAGTTGCAAACGGGCGTCGAGATCACCGGCCGGCCGCCATTTTGCCGCTGCCCGAACCTTGACAAATCATTGTACAGAATGGCGTCAGCTTACCCGAAGCCTCGAATTCCTCGAGCTTCTCGCGGATCAGTTGCTTGTCCTCGTCGCAGATATCCTCCCAGCCGCCGATGTCCTCCTCCGGGTCGTCTATCCGCTTCGTGGTAGCCCTCTGCTTCGCGAAAACCTCGAACAGACACGCGACGTGGTGCCAGGCCTTCATCTTGCCGTCCCCGAATGGGTTCGACATCAGTTTCGCGATCCTGATCGCGTCCTTCTCGATCGGGCACTTGCACTTCTTGCACTTCGCGCGGCCGCTTTTCGCCCGCTCCACCGCGAACGGCTTCTCATCCTCCTCCTTCTCCTCGTCGGACATCCCTCGGCGAGGCCTGCAACCCTTTCGAATCGTTCGCAATTTAACTCTTGCTGGATGCCGGATATATTTTTCGTAAATTGTTATCCCATAGATTCACGCTAGGATTGTACACGATAGAGGACAATTTGGGACGATTGTTATTGATCATTGTTAATGATTATAAGAACGAGGTGCAAGAACATCGTTTGAATCTTTACGATTAGTATACATTTGTGCATTTTTATGCAATCGGTTTATTGGGATCGAAGTTGATCTTTTTGTGTTTAATGAATTTTATGTTTATTTATATTTACTATTAATATGTTGTAATATACTATTATATATATACTACTATAATATATTAATATATTAATATATTATAATATATATTTGCTATTATTATATTATATTTACTTATGTAATGTTAATATATGTGTTAATATATTATAATATAATATATTATATTATATATCTGTCTCTTATACACATCTAGATGTGTATAAGAGACAGATATTATATTATATATCTAATAATAATAATATATATTAACAAATATATAATATATATATATTAAATTATATATATCATAATAATAATATATATTAACAAATATATAATATATATATATTAAATTATATATATCATAATAATAATATATATTAACAAATATATAATATATATATATTAAATTATATATATCATAATAATAATATATATTAACAAATATATAATATATATATATTAAATTATATATATCATAATAATAATATATATTAACAAATATATAATATATATATATTAAATTATATATATCATAATAATAATATATATTAACAAATATATAATATATATATATTAAATTATATATATCATAATAATAATATATATTAACAAATATATAATATATATATATTAAATTATATATATCATAATAATAATATATATTAACAAATATATAATATATATATATTAAATTATATATATCATAATAATAATATATATTAACAAATATATAATATATATATATTAAATTATATATATCATAATAATAATATATATTAACAAATATATAATATATATATATTAAATTATATATATCATAATAATAATATATATTAACAAATATATAATATATATATATTAAATTATATATATCATAATAATAATATATATTAACAAATATATAATATATATATATTAAATTATATATATCATAATAATAATATATATTAACAAATATATAATATATATATATTAAATTATATATATCATAATAATAATATATATTAACAAATATATAATATATATATATTAAATTATATATATCATAATAATAATATATATTAACAAATATATAATATATATATATTAAATTATATATATCATAATAATAATATATATTAACAAATATATAATATATATATATTATATATTTGTTAATATATATTATTATTATTAGATATATAATATAATATAATTAATTATTATATATATTTGCTATATTATATTATATTTACTTATGTAATGTTTATATATGTGTTAATATATTATAATATAATATATTATATATGTTATATATAATATAATATAATTAATTATTATATATATTATTATTATTATATATATAATATAATATATATATATAATATATTTGTTAATATATATTATTATTATTATATATATAATATAATATATATTT